CGAAAAGAATCTTGAATTTATAAAATCCTCCCTAAACTGGCACCGTTGCCGCATGAATGAGTTTGCGGGATTAGTGCTGTTGGTGCATATCTGTACTCCAATAAAAGATGGGTGGAATAAATGTATTGTTAATGGACATGGAAGTTGTTATTTGTTAGATGTCTGGGCGTTGCAGTGAGCTAATGCCTCTAAGGCACATCCGTCAATAAGCACTCAATAAATTTATGACATGTCCGATAAAATACGCCCACTGATCAATACTACGTTTAAAACACTTGACATGATTTAAGTCAAATTTCTTTAGGTTGCGTTTGGAATCGATATAAATCAAATTTTTTTTAGGTTGTATTTGGAATTGATGTAAATCAAGAACGATGTAAAAGTTTATACTGATTCGATTTTATTCACGTTTGAAACGAAAGTATAATCATTATTAACATAAAACTTCACTCCAGTTCAATTTTACATACATTTGGATGGGGTGGAGTTTTGCATCGATAATCAATGTAAAACTTTTAAAACCTATCAAATGTAAAGTTTTACATTGATTGTCAATGTAAATACTACATTGATTTTATTGATGTAAAACTTTACACCCTTCACCTATTGCATTTTTCAAAAAGCAACATTCACTTTTACAGTTCAGTGTAAAACGTCATCGATGTACTTTTACACCAATGATGTTTTATACTGATTCTAAACGCAGCCTTAAGAAATTTATTTTATCACTAAGGTTGCGTTTGGAAACAATGCAAATGGAGTGTAAATCCCGGTTCATGGTAAATTTGCACTCTGATTCATTTTTGTCTATTTGGCAATATTACATTTATGCATTGACAAATGACAGGCCAATGCATATTTACATTGATAATAAAATGCAAAAGTACATCAATAAAATAAAAGTAAATTTACATTCAAATGAACTTTTCATAAAAAAAGAATATGCTCTATTGGAATTCGTGTTTGTATCCATTGCAGCTAAAAATCTTTTTGGTAAGAAGGTAAATTTGTCAATGCAAAACTAACCTAACTTTTTTTTTTGATAATAAACATAAAGGACTACACAAACTAATCCAACTTTGCAATTTATATGTACCATTTTACACTCTACATATTTATATTCACACTTTTTTACATCGTTTCCAAATGCAGCCTAACATGGGGTGGTATTATCATTGGTTAAAAAACACAACACGGTCATGCCTTTCAATGGACACATATTCACTCCTATCATGATCTGATCCACCGTGTGGTTTTTATATAAAAATCCTAAATTTTAAACCCTAAACCTAATCTTAAACTTTAAAATTTAAAATATAAACCCTAAACCCTTAAATTTGTAAATCCTAACCTTAAAATCTTAAGTTTGGGCCAAAATTACATTTGGCCCGACATAATTTCCCGACTAGGTAGGAGTCAATAATTTCTCCCTTTTAACCATCTGATTAGATTAAAACAATATTTTTAAGCTTTTTTTTTTTAATCCAAGGAGATTAAATTTAGCAACTTAGGTTGCATTGGATAAACTTGGAAAAATTATGCATTTATTATTAAATTGTTTTTAAAAATAATTTCTACTGAACGCGCTCATTTATATCTCCCACTGTCCCACAGCGCAAAGCTTAATGCAAAATCTTATCCAAACAGAGCCCCTTCTGTATCAGGTGTAAAACTGCTCAGCTCATCCTTAGATGGGTCGGGTACTCCGGATCCAATGCCTAATCCATTGTGTTACATACCCAAGAGTTTGCCACATACTACACCAGTCTGATTATGGAGCTTAAACAGATCCCACATGAATCCACACCGAATCAGGACACACGGAATTCCACCCGAAAATATTGAATATTATTGTATAAAACAAAAATCCAGACTGATCATATGATGCATCTGATATGGATATTTACTCACCGTCCAATTCTCTACAGTACGGATAAGATCACTTGAATATATGTTCTGATTTTTGGACTGCCCTATGTCTTCTACCCGGGACGGGACCCGTCAATCTGGGTCTCAATCTTCTGTACATTAAAAAAACAGGCATCCGTGAAGCAATGTAAGCCCCATATCAGAAGCCAATCCAACTTTGGTCAGAAATACTTAATAAAACAAAATCAAGAAAGTAAGAATTCTGAAGCCATTGCACTGTGCTTTTGCTTTAAGGATTTCCAGAATTAAGCAACAAAGTAGATAACAAGACAAGACAAGCAAGCTCATCAAATCAGCTTTTTCTTTCTTTTTCCTCCAACCCCTGCATTTTCTTCCATAATGAGCCAAAGGGAAGGTGGATATTACTTTTTTACTTATTTGCTTTCAATCTTTTGACCCCAAACTTACATGACTACATGTTAGTTATAGAACATTTTTATATTTTTCCATTATTAACTAACAATATTTCTTTGGATCGGGTCTACCCGATAGAATCAAATCAACCAAACTGATTATATGAGTCTCAATTATAATTGAGCGAACTTATTTTTACTGTTCCAAACTGATTACATAATTAATAATGGCCTCCTAGTTTTCATGTAAATTTTGTTTATATTTTATGTCTGAGAAGGGTAATTTTTGGTTAAAAAAGCATTTGTTTCATCAACATTTAAACAATATAATATTTAATGTCATTTTTATTAATATTAATCCGGTCCAATTAGGTCAGATCCGATTATCTGACCAGACCGGCCCAATTGGTTGTCTACCCTATCCCAAACCAGACTGGCCCAATTGACAGCTCTACCTGTCACAGATAAATTGTATGAAAAACTGCAGGAAATCCGAAGTCAGTTCTGGAGATGGTGACTGCACTTTTCTTTGATGCATTTCATTAGTGAAGGAATGAATAGATAAGCATCTCTGATTCTCTTATCTTTCATTATGAATGAAAGGAAATTGGAATAAATTCTTTGTACATAGAAAGAGAAATGAAATGATAGGTGATGTCCATTTGGTATGCTGCATGTGATAATAGATTGAGACTGTTTCACTGAAATGCTCTACTTCCTGGACTAAATTCACCCTAAAATCTGTATCCAATGGATATCCTTCGAAATCCAATTCAACTGTTTGGCATTTGGAGATCAATACATGTTCAAGAAGATGGAAATTCTTGTCGTATTCAGAGATTATGATGAAGAGACCATCTCATCAACAATAAGGTGAGTTTTTGGTCCGGGGGAAGCGATGCGATGGCCGGGTTCCATTGAACCATTTCAATGGATCTCCATGTGCAGCATTTTTATGGTAGGGAACATACAGAGTATATCCATACCCCAACCTGTTATCTTATCTGGCTTGGGTCTAATCCAATTACTTATGTGATGAAATGACCTGTACAAATAGTGTTCGCATTTTGGGTTGTTAGAATTGGAGGGGTGGTGACCGCAAATTTTATTAATTCGAATAATTTAAGGTCTATTAGAGAGTCGATTGGCCTGAAATATAAATAGACAATCGGTTTTAAAAAGCAATTGAGGCCCTGTTTGGTTCACGGGAATAGAGATCTGGAATCGGAATTGGAATGGGCTATTCCGATTTCAACTGTTTGATTGGGCAGAATTGGAATCCCATTCCCATTCTTGTTGGAATGACATTCTCTCATTTGAGAGAATGACCATTCTCTGTCCCTTCTTTGAGAATGAAATATCATTCCTGCTGATTTTAATTTCCATTCCCATTCCTGTCTGTATCAAACAGACTATAAGAATAGATTATTCCAATTCCAATTCCAGAGGATTTTAATTCTAATTCCGATTCTGATTGCCGACTATGAACCAAACGGACCCTTAAATCATATGGCTTATGATATTGCAACAATGTGGCCTACAAAATCTGGCCTTGTTTCAAAGGAGAAGAAAGAGCACAAGTAAACCCTAACCCAATCCGTGCGGTTTTTCTCACATTGGCGTGTAGCCAAAGACTGTAAATTGTTGATTAGGTGGGTTCCATGATTCCATCTTAATCTTCCAACATGAAGAAAAGGAAACAAAAACGGTTTCTTAGCAGAAACAATGGAAAGAAAGGGAGGATTGATTGATTCAAAGAATCCACACCGTTTTTTCAAGGGACCCACCCACCCGGCCCGGAGGCTCTATTGTGATACGATCCATTGACCCTTTTTGCCTTTTGTTCATTTATACACGGAAACTCGACAATCGATTTGAATTGATGAATGGGGACCAGCTTGAGCTGTCAATGAGTCGGGTTTGGTTTCGGGACAGAGTGTATCAGTCCTAAATCAATCGGTTCAATAGCAGACCCATAATTGAAACCGATTATTAATCAGAGTAATTGAATTACCTATGATAACAACAATTTAAAACCTTGATTTGATAAAATAAACTTAACAAAAATGATATTAGAATAGAAACTGTTTATATTTTAACCAACAATTTAAGAACTAATTCCAACCCGATTATTAACCGGACAAAACCACATAAACTGAACCGTAATAAGTTTGATTGATTTGGTTCTTTTAGGTAGACCCGAACCATTGACAGCCCTAGGACCAGCCTGAGTGGCACTAAGCCAGATAAATGGTCGGGTCGGGCCAAATACAGGCAAATTAGTTCTCAACCCGTTTTATGGTGCTTGGCGGAACACGGGAACAGGAGTAAATAAGTCGAAATCGTGTAGGAGTGGGACACGCGTGAAATCGTGTTATGATGGGAACCGCTTGGGTGTTGCATGGGAGCATAATCGTGTCTCCAAAAAAGGCAAGAAATAAGGAGCAGGAGGGAAATCCGTACAATCATCGGCAACATCCGGTGATGCAGATGGTGACGTGGAAGATGTGTGGACCCAGCTAGAGATGGGCACGGGAGTGGCTGTGGCCGACAGCGTTTACACGTGGGAAGATCGAAAGTCCGTTAGTGGCGGTTAAAGGGGGTTAAAACTGTTAGAATGGAGTTAATTAGCCTAACCATGGTGAAGGGGGTTGAATTAACGGAGTTAGGCCAACGTTTTCTATAAAAGGAGGTCTCAATGAAGGTTTATTTGACTCGACTCTATTCGCTTGTTGTGGCTTTCTTTCTCTCTCTATATCTGGGAAGAGAATCAATCAAGCGATCCAGACTCCAGAGTGAGAGAGACAAACAGAGAAGAGGGCGAACAGAGATTCAGAAGAGAGAGAGAGAGAAAGGGGTTGAGCTATCTCTGAGACAACAATGGCAGTTTCCCCGAGGTGGTTTTCGCTGTGTTTTGTGCTTCTGTTGTTGCTCGTTGGCGTAATGGCGGGAGTAGCGAAGGAGCAGGTTTCGGATTCGAGGTATAAGTTAATTGTGTTTCTAAAAGCCATTGAAGGTTGTGGAATGAGGAATTCTTACTGAGAAACAGAGAAGTGTTGGGGATGTTTGAGTTCTCTGCTTGTCCTATCTCTCTCTGTTCAAGGATTCAAGCTTCGGAAACGTTTAGACAATGAGAGATTGCTTTCCCTTCTTTTTTTCTTTGATTTTAGTTTTTTCTTAATTCAAGCACGGACAATTTTGCTTCATTACGTGCTTTTGAATTATTTTCTCCCTGGTTCTTCCGGAAATGAGGATAAATTTTCAGGTGAAACAGAGTTTTAGAGGTTTCTTGACTTGATAGAGTGCCTCTCTTTGTCCTTTCAACTTCTGCTTCTGCATTCATGAAGATCCTACTCAACATTGCAGCGCTTTCATCATTTTTCTATTTTCTTCATTTTTTTTCTTAGAGTTTAACTAAATTTGTTTCTCGGAGCTCTAAGTTCACAATGATTCGTTTCTCAATACAGGATTGAAGGCACGCAGCAGCTGCAGAGCTCGAAGAACTCATCAAAGGCGGACAGGTCAGTCAGACTAATCAGTGATTTCAGTTGCTCTTCTCGTTTGCTCACTTTTCCTTAATTGGTGGCGGATCTAAGCCTTCCGCTGTTCCGCATTGTCTCCTGGTGGATCTGGATAGTAAGGTATTCCTCCATGGATCCACCGAAACCTTGCGGCAATCTTAACCATCGAGATCGAGATCCGAAAATCTGGATCGCTTGTTCTATCACGTTAGCTTCTTTCTCCCGAAGTCCCGTACCAGTCTTTCATTTTCAACTCTCCAGGTCGAGGATAAAAGCTCCCATTGGTTTTTCAGTTTTCATCAAACAATGACCCCAAGTTTCTAGACACATGACTGGCACCAGTCTTTTTCACATTTCCTATACCATTCCCGAATATTGGTTCTTTATTCCTTTCCGTTCGTTTTTCGTTTCTCAATTGAACGATCGCCTTAACGATCTGAGGAGGGAAATTTAGTTATTTTGTATGAACTCCGGCCTCCGACGAGTCGCCTGCTTCTGATCTCTCTCTCTCTCTCTCTCTTATACGTTTTTACGGTTTTACCGGGATTGCCTTCGAACAATTCCGTATGCAGAAGATACGGGTATTTGTGTTATTAACCATCCGTACGTAATTTAACAATGTTTTTACTGAAAATTAAAAAACCGAATTTGTTTTATTGCAAAGAACTCTGATTGGCGGATTTGTTGTTAATTTATGGGAAAATTTTCAACTCCGAGTCAGAGATCTTGAATGGGAACTTGCCAATTTGGCAGACCCACTGAAAGGAATTGACCAACTTTTTCACTTTTTCCTTGATGACAGAAAGGAAAAGGGCAGAAATTTGATTACATTCGCCCATTTAGTCCAACTGAGTACGTGACTGTTCATTCTAGTGGGATCAGAGATGGCAAAAAAATTAAAAAAAAAAAATCATCAAAAGGTCATTAACTGAATGATCTGATCAGACTGTGCTTATTGTTTGTCCGGCGGAGTCTGGTTTAACTTGAACTGTTCGAAGGGATTGTTTGCCTGCCTATTACGATTTAATTCCGGTCTCTTCCATTTTATGGGTTTCTAACTCTTGGATGGATAACGGGGCTTTCAGGTTGGAGCAGGCTGAACACGCAGTCGACAATCCAGAGGAGGTAGCTGCTATGGTGGATATGTGAGTTTTCCATTTATTCTCTCTCTCAATCGACATTTTACATGGATTCAGTTGTTAATCTTATTAAATCGCAACCGCAATTAATTTCACATATTACTTCTGTATGGGCATCACCATGACTTCTAGTTACGTGGGAGTAGGCGCAGGTCAGAAAAACTCACTTCTTTTTTAGCTAGGCAAATAACACTCACATGACATGCACGTTACAACAAGAACGAAGCCACATGGCCCTTACTCATCAATAACAAAAATAAAGACTACCCATCTCGCAATAAATCAACTAGTTTTACTTTAATTATTTCCGGCCCCCACTCTCCTCTTTTTTCTTATCCTATCATTTATTATGCTATAGCTGATTTGGAGGAGAAATAGTTTATTTTCGCTCCTTGAATTAAGACGCTCCTGGTAGACACGTAATCAGGTTGACGAAAATTGAAACCTTAACACGTGTCCTTCAGTGAAATATCCTGAAGGACGCTTGCCTGCAGAAAATAGTCAAACTTCAACCCCAAGTCTCTTAAGTCCTTCGTATTTTCAACAGCGATGAGAAGTATAAACAAGTTGGAGAAAAAGTGAACATATTCAATTTCTTTTTTACTTCTCAATTTCTATCTTTCATACTTTCATGTTTCATCTTTTTTTTCTAGGGCTATGACTCTCTTTTTCTCTCTAATTTTCTAACCAAAACCAAAAACAGCCCAAGTTTCTTCCCGGTAGTCCTAAGGCTCCTAGCTCATTCCATTCTCCATAGCCGTTAATGTGTTGGTGAAAGTCCGCTTGGTTTTGGAGCCTGAAGAATCAAACAGCAATCACATCTCCGGATTCTGACTCATCTAGCGTTTCCCTCTTCTTTATTTTACAGTCTCCCTACAGGCCTTTGCCGTGAGATCCGCGCGTATCACGCATTAAATTTTTTACATGTCACCTTTTCCCTTATCCATAAGACTATTTAACCTCTGTAAATACTCCAATGAAGTTTTTTCTTTACTTCGATTGTGTATAAAATGGGAGTATATATCTAATAAAGGAATCCAACAAAGATGATGGTTGTTTAATTCGGTCTTGATGACAAGGAAGATTGGGACTCTTGCTGATCTCTCACCGGAGACCCTCGTGGCTGCATAGATTCTTCAAATCAGATCTTTTGCTGGGACCCATTAATCAATAAATCAACTAATTCATGCTTAGTTGAATACAAGTGTAATGCAAAGAAGTATTCAATTCAATTCTATAATCCTTTTCTCGTGACAAACTTGCTGCGTTGGTTGTTTTGGAAGTACATGTTTTCTGGTTCTTTCTGCTTCTACCCCGCATTTCTTCCAACTTGCGAGTTCGATCCGTTGTATTCAACAGGAACACTTCGTCCTTGTCCCCTCAGATGCCGGATTCTTAAGGGGATTGATTTGGGCACATCCCATTTTTTGATAAAAGGGGTAGCATTGGTAAAGTACATGCTTTTAGAAAGACAAAAACAGAGTGTTTTGACTTTTATAATTACTCACACAGGATGTCCCAGTTTATTGAAAAAAAAATTGGATGTGCCAAAATCACTCTCCATTTCTTCCTTCAAATTCCATTTGGTTGCCACAAACATGTTTGTAGACTGGTACTTCCACCGACACACTGGTGAAATTCACCACCTCTATATTTATTTAATTTAGCTTATTCTAGAATAGAGACTAAACTCTAATAGAAAATGTAGAAACGAAGAATAGAAAACAAAATATTAGGTAGAAATAGAAAAACAGAGAGAATTTTCGTACCCATCCGTCCCTGTCCTCAGCATTGATGCACATGCGCACCTCATAATGGATTTGCACATGGATGCATTCCAATAACTTTCAACTTCCAATTTCGGCCTACAGTGCAGAGAGGAATCTCTTGTATTACTCTTGACAGTGGCTTCTCAAACAGAAATCAATTCATGGGATTCTTCCATCTTAATCGCTTCCTTTCAAGATGATTGAGTAACATTTATGATGATAATGATGATTAATTAATTAACAATGTTTTTTACTGTACAGGAGCATACGTAACAGCACAGCAAGGAGGAACTTAGGCTTCCTGTCGTGTGGCACGGGCAATCCCATCGATGACTGCTGGCGTTGCGACCCAATGTGGCACCTTAGACGAAAGCGCCTTGCCGACTGTGGTATTGGCTTTGGACGCAATGCTATCGGTGGTCGTGATGGCCGCTTCTATGTAGTCACTGACCCTGGTGATGATGACCCCGTCAACCCTCGCCCTGGCACTCTCCGTCATGCTGTCATCCAGGACGAGCCCCTTTGGATCGTCTTCAAGCGTGACATGGTTATCACTCTTAAGCAGGAGCTCATCATGAACAGCTTCAAAACCATCGATGGCCGTGGTGTCAATGTCCACATCGCCAATGGGGCATGCATCACCATCCAGTTCATCACCAATGTCATCATCCATGGCATCCACATCCACGACTGCAAGCCCACCGGAAATGCCATGGTCCGGAGTTCCCCATCTCACTACGGGTGGAGGACAATGGCCGACGGCGATGCCGTCTCCATATTCGGATCCAGCCACATCTGGGTTGACCACAATTCTCTTTCCAACTGCGCGGATGGCCTTGTTGATGCTATCATGGGCTCGACTGCCATCACTATTTCCAACAACTACTTCACCCACCACAATGAGGTATATTATGCTTCTTATTTTCTAGACTGTAGGGTTGGATTAATTGGACTACTTGAAATTGTTGGACGGTATTTAACATCGAGTATAACGTGAAACAGGTGATGCTTTTAGGTCATAGTGATTCTTACACGAGAGACAAAATGATGCAAGTCACCATCGCTTACAACCATTTTGGAGAAGGCCTCATTCAGAGGATGCCTAGGTAAAGATAATGTGGCCTTAAAGCCTCATCAAACAAACTGCTCTGGATCTCCGCCAATTTGTTTTCTGATAATTGTACTGTTACAATGACAGGTGTAGACATGGGTACTTCCATGTTGTGAACAATGACTACACTCATTGGGAAATGTATGCCATTGGAGGAAGTGCAAATCCCACCATCAACAGCCAGGGAAACCGATACCTTGCCCCGACCAACCCTTTTGCCAAGGAGGTACTAATGTTAATTACTGATATTCGTCTCTGCTTCTGTTTTCCTCTGTATGTCCATATCTGGATTTAATGGAATCCAATTTGATATGCTCACTATGCTGATCGTTAATGGTGGTGAATTTACACGGCCAGGTGACAAAGAGGGTGAGTACAGACTCCGGAGTTTGGAAAAACTGGAACTGGAGATCCGAGGGAGACTTGCTTCTGAATGGAGCCTACTTCACCCCATCCGGAGCTGGAGCCTCCGCCAGTTATTCTAGGGCTTCAAGCCTGGGCGCAAAGTCCTCTTCCATGGTGGCTTCCATTACTTCCGGTGCTGGTGCTCTGTCCTGCCGCAAGGGTTCCCGATGCTAGCATCAATCAATTTGAATGTCAAAAAAATCAAAAAAAGGGAAAATAAAAAAAAAAGAAAATAGTCAAATTTCTTTTTTTTTTGTTTTTTTGTTTTAATTATGATAGCATCCTACATTGTACTACCCTTTAATTCTGGTCCCTCTCCTTGTCTGTATCTTTTCCTACATGGCAAGTGTACATTTTTTTTACACATGTCATTATGTTGTATTGTTACACCGATATCAATTATTCCTTGTTATTCCACTTTGTCTGTTGTGCCCCCTTTGTTCAACCTCGGCTTGCTTCAACTGAGGAGAAAATTTCCAACCTTGGAGCGGGTGCGGAAGAGTTGTTCAATTCTCCCTCTATTTCTCATTCTTATCTTCCTATCTCTCTGTCGCCACTCTCCTCCGTTCAATCCGTCCTCTCGGTCCCTTCTCCCATCTCTCAGTTTCAACGTCCTGTCACTCTGTCTCTATGTGGTGTCTCTTCTTCTGATTTTGTGATTCTTTTCTTAAAAAAAAAAAAAAACATACAAGCATATTATTTATGTTTGATCGAGTATTGGAAACTTTGTTACAGATAATGCAGAGCAGCAAATATTCTCTACTTTTGTACCAATGGATATAGCCTTTTGCTTCATTCTCTTTCAGTCTTTTGTTTTACTGTGGATATTCTGTGAGTGAGAGAGGGAGGGAGAGACAGAGACAGAGAGAGTAGCAAACCAAAAGGAAAGAAGCAAAAAAAGGATAGAGGAGCCTAGCGGCAGGCCTCCATATGTGCATAAAAGACATCGGCAAAGTTCCAATTCCAGACAAAGGACTTGAGCCAGCCAATGAAACCAAGGGGCTGTTTGATAACATTGAAGTGGCTCATTTCAATGACTTGTTGCCTTTTCTTTTATTAAACGGCCGAGGCTGAAGTTAGGGTTATTATTATGCCCTTGAAACAAAACAACTAGTCATTCAGTTCAGCAACTTAAACGATCCAGCCTGCCCCTATATAGAATAATAGAAATGGTTAACAACCAATGTTAACTTTCTAGAGACACATTACTGATCCTAAAACTATTCAACAGATTAGGAGGAACCCTCCGGGTATCGGTGGGGCGGAGTTAGGAAATTTTCATGAGAGGCATTGGGGATGGAGGGAATAAATATGGATGATCATAGGGGGTCAACCCATTGAGGTGGGGAGTGGGGAAGGGGAAATTTACATGGAATATTAGGGATTTTTGGGCCAAAGGGGGGTTATGGCTAAAAGTGTAAAACGGGCTGTGTTGTGCCATCCTACGTGTGCTAGTGTCACCCTCTCTAGGGATAATTTAGGGGTTGGTTCGACAAGTCCCATTGCCTAAGCCCGTATGGACCTATGCCGTGCCATGTCGTGTTGTGGGCCTGGGTTGGGTGGGCGCCTAGGCCGTGTCAGGCTGGGCCACAGGCCGAGCCTTGGGCATGGGCCAAATCGGGATAGATTAATTTTTTTTTTATATATTTTTTATTTTTTTTTCTTTACCAAGTAAAACTAAAATATTTAACTTTCATTTGGGAACTATTTGAAAAAAAATAAGAAATCTAATAAAGAAATAAGAAAAAATATTTAACTAAATAAGAAGTCAAAGAAGAAAGACTCAAAGTGAATAACAAATTGAAAGAAAAATAGGAATTTTATTTCATTTAAATTTGAATGATACAAAGCATACAATGGTTGGAAGAATGAAATACGAAAATTGGAAAATGGAACAAATTAATAAAATATAAAAAATACAATATAACTACAAATTGAAAATAAAAATTTACGTTATTAAAAAACCAAATAAATTATATAAAATTAAAAAAATACAATAATTTAAAAATGTTATACAACTATTGAGTATACGAAAAATATTGACTTCATCATTTTTTTCTGTTGTTCTTGACCTTGATCATCTGCTTCAGATGAAATATCAGGTGTAGTGTCATGCCCTCCTTTGTCTTGTAATCTATCTTCAGCATCCAACCAATCATTAAAACAAATGCACATCTCTAAACTTTCATCATTCATACAGCTTTTCTTGTCGTCCAACACCTACACTAAAACAAGACTCTAGTGGAACTGTAGACACCGGAGGGGTTACTAGATCACATGCCATGGCGGTGAGAACTTGATAATTTTTTGCATGTTCAATCTACCATGCTAAAATATCAAAATTATTTGTTCCCTCTAAGGTGAAGGAAGAACCACCTAAAGTAGAAAAATTTGCTTGCAAATAAAAATTAAGTTCAATAAATGTACTTGTTGTTGAGGTAGTGGATTTCTGCCTCTTACTTATTAAATTAAATTTTTTTCTATTCAACTACTAAACTCAAGTTCAGAAGTGGAAGATGCAATTGTACAAGTTGTAAAATTTTTATTATTCCCTGTTACTTCAGATTCATATAAACTATATATTTCAAATAATAAACTATTAATTTCTTTTTTTTCATTCTCAATTTCAATATTCATATTTTCACAATATTTTTCAAGTAAAATATATAAAGAATCTTTCCTAATCCTAGGATCTAATGTTGTAGCTAAGCAATAAAGAGGAGAAATATTCTCCCCATATTTTTTATATTTATTTTCTATTATTTCAATAATACTATTAAATTATGGATTATTTCTATATTTTGCAAAACAATCACTAATTATCATTAATTGATAAGTTAAATTACAACTAGTTGGATAATAAATGCTCGATAATTCATTAGTTGCATCCTAAAAATTTTTTAAAAAATCCCTAATACAAGTTGTCATTTCCCATTCTTCCTCAAATATAATATTAGTAGGCATTTTTGCATTATAAAAATCACTAAGAATTTGTTTATGAGAAATACAACTTTCTAACATAGTATAGGTAGAATTTCATCTATATTTAATATCTAATATAAAATATTTATATTTTAAACCATAATTTTGACATAAATATTTAAATTCTTGTTTCTCTTGCTCTAGAACTTTTAATATATATAATACAATTTCTAATTTTAGAAATACGAGTAAATATAATATTTAAAGCATCCTAAATACATAAATGTAAGATATGCATAATTTACCATTTAAGCATGGTTTTAACTGAGATTTTAAATATTTATTGTTGATATTACTAGCATTATCAAAACTAGTAGAAAATAATTTATTATCAATTTCATAAGCATGTAAAGTATTTAAAATACTTGTAACAATAGTTGGGCGAGTATGTGGCCATTCAAGACTAGTAAAACTTAAAATTCTGTCATTTAAAAACAAATTTCATCAATAAAATGATTGGTAACACAAATATAACTTATGTTAAATTAAAAGTCCAAATATCAAAAGTAATTGCAACTTTAGAATTAAGGTTTGATAACATATAAATTAATTTTTTTTTATATGAATAAAAAATTTTTAAAGCATCTAATCTAATAGTATTCTTAGAAACTTTTTTAAATTGTGGATTTATAGAATTATGTAACCATTTTTTAAATTTAGTATCTTCAGCTAACAAAAATGGTTGTTCAACATGTACAATGTATTTGCTAATTCTTGCCTCATTTTTTCTTGAGAATATTTAAAAGTACCAAAACCCTCCTGCCCAATTTGTGTTTGTGTTGTTTCTCTCCCTTCTTCTTCTTCTTCTTCTTCTTCTTCTTCTTCTCATGGATGAGCAAATGTCTTCCCAAATGGCCAGTACCACCATTGCTACAATAGCTAAAGTCTTTCCTACATTTTTGACAAATATCTCTTTTTCCCTTCTCTTGAACCTCCTATACTTGAAATATTTTTTCAAACTAGGGTAATCAACTTAGTGGCCTTCTTTTTTCCCCCTAGTATCAGTACTAAGAGTGGAAGTTCCGTCAATATCAATAGCATCCATATCGGTGCTAATACTACCATGTTGCGACTGAATATTATCAACATTGAACATGTTGGGGAATTGGTTTCGGGAGGAGTTGACCATTTTTTTAATTCTAAAAAAATAAAAATCAATTTAATTGCACTTACTCAGATTGTCAGTTTGGAATCCCACTTGATTTCAACGGTTGAAGACTTTCAACTCCAAGAGTCCAAGCCTTCCAAATTGCTAATTTGAGATAATTGAGTTGTTGAGCAAGCGTTCTTGTTGAAACTCTAATAAAGTTGAGAATTGGAGAATCAGATAATGTTTGAGAGATGAGAGATTGAGACTTGAGAGAGTATGAAAACTAGATAAGAGGTTAAGAGAATTGTTGAATTGTTGTGATGAGAATGGTGGAGGAAATAACTATTTATAAGAATTGAAAATAATTTAATTGCCCAAAATACCCTATAAACTAGTTGTTTTTAATTGTTGGGAGAGGTATTTTGGTTATTGTAAAGTTATTTATCACTTTATCTAAAATGCCCCCCCCCCCAAAACCAAAATTCATAAATACCCCCTATATAGCTGTTTATAGTTGTTGGGGGTATTTTTATAAATGAAAACCCCTCAAAAAGCTGAAACTAGCCGTTGAGGACTCCCCCC